AGGTGGACGAGCAGATGTTGAATGTCCAAAACAAGAACTCAAGCTACTTCGTAGAATGGATTCCAAACAACGTGAAGACGGCTGTTTGTGACATCCCACCTCGAGGCTTAAAGATGTCGGCTACGTTCGTTGGCAACAGCACCGCGATCCAAGAGCTGTTTAAGCGTGTGAGCGACCAGTTCACCGCCATGTTCCGTAGAAAGGCTTTCTTACATTGGTATACTGGTGAAGGTATGGATGAGATGGAATTCACCGAGGCCGAGTCCAACATGAACGATCTCGTGAGCGAGTATCAACAGTATCAGGACGCCACCGCTGATGACGAGGGCGAATTCGAGGAGGAAATTGAGGATGAATAGATCTCGCCAACAGGCAGCAATTATGTTTTATTTTTCTACCTATTGAGGAGTCTTGTAATGTTGGAATACATTTTTTACCCTTAAGACTGCTTGTACCGTGTGTAACTTTTCGGAATCTGTCGAGCAATGCTTCACTGGTCCATTAGCCCTTGTTATTTTCATTGGCAGGGTCTCGTGCCATCGGCCCTAAAATGGTGGGTAGTTGTGTCCGAAATCAACTTGCTGCGTTATGCTTGTTGGGCGGATAAGACGTTTATATGTCAATTTCACATTCGCAGTAAAATTGTTTGGGTGCGTAACGATTGCTGGTAAAGCACTTGTCGGGAAGTTGCGGCTCTCTTTACTAGCGGGTCTTCCGGGAATAAGGGTGTTGCTTTGACTGAATAGGCCCGCACAGTTATGGCCTGATGTAATTGTTTCCAGCCAATCCGTTTGTAGCGCTTTCTGTTCCTTTGATCATGATCCTACTGCTTTAGTTGCCTTGCGGACCGCAGCGGCGAGCTGGGTTTCGCTTTATGTTTTCTAGCATCGTTCGGTGCGCAGCCGTGTCACCCCATGTGCTTGCTAGTAACGTGGCGTTTTATCTCGAGAGTAGGCATTTGGATGCTACACTCTGTGCTGAATGTGATGTAGTCCGCAGCATGGACAAAAATCTAATGCAGGCTGGAGTTTTCCACCACGGATGTACACACTGGATGCCGGACTTCGCGAAGTTTCGTCGATCCTAATGCTTCACGCCTACCAATCAGTAGGCGCCTGTTTCCCATCCGATTTCCAGACCCATGTCCCCGGGAACTCAAAATCCCGGTGGTGAGCTCGGTATTCTAATACAGGATGATATGGAAGTTATTTAATAGACTTTCTTTTCGGATAAGCCATTGAATTCGAGAAATGGTAAAATTCAACTTACATACCTACGACTGCGAGTCGTTGGTGTCTACAAACAAATTATGGCTGCCGATCAGCACAATAAAGGAGTACGCTTGCAGCTGTAAGTGGTAGATAACTTCACTCACTGTAATTTGCTAATGGTTGTCGGGATTTGAAAAGACCGCAATGGGCCAGGCGGTAATTCGAGGACCATCTCATTAATTACATTGGTCTCCAGTGCTGCAGTATAAAAGAAAGGAATTTCGGCGTTGAAGAGGATGACCCACTGTTTGTCACCAACACAGGCTTCAGACATCCGCTAAACTGACATTCAAATGCTGGTCTTGTAACCACCTGAATTTATTTCATTATAGTAAGCTCGAGGTTGGGCTGATTTTATCGGGCCTAGATCTCTTTACGTCTGCACAGGCGGTGAATGTTCGCATCTCGTCGACATCTGAACCGTCTCATGATGTCACAAAATAGGGAGAGCATAGTGCTCGGCAGCCGGAGTCTGAAGAGGGTGGGCGGCAGCCGTCATCAACAATCTTAGTCCCCACAGTAGAGTGCAACGTCCAACGGCTCCGCGATGGTCGGATCTGCTCAAACATCATACAATTGTCCGCCTACGTAGTGTTAGCGTATAGTAACGAGCATTTCCGCCAAATGCGTGCAATGCCAGCCGGAGTAATCTACAGAAGACCGAAAACAGGCAGCTTTCTAGCTTAAAATTCGGACCAACTTTAGGACAGTCATAGATGTAGCGTCTTAGTAGTGTTTGTACTCGAAGCACTACAATCAGCAGATTGAATCCCAGGTTAGGCAGAAGATATCAGTATGGTAGCAAAAAAGGTAATTGTGCGTTTGTGCGTTTATTTGCCCTCGAGACGCAGGGTACATTGATAGAATAATCCGAAACGTATGTAAGAGAATTAAGGAAATTATACCCACATGGCAAACAAAATGTGATAAGTATTCTAGTTCAACCTCAATATTAGGAGAGTTGGTTATGTTCAGACGATTGATAGCCTAACAGAGTATTCAGAAGGGCGTCCCAGAGACAGTGGCCATCCAAATTGAGAGCTGATCTGTCTGCACACATAAGACCCTGGATCGACACCCGCATTATCAAACGTCTCTGATAACTCAGCGTCCTTCTCACCCCCCATTATCCTCCCTAGTCAATAACGAGCATCTGTTCCCGTCCTTCCTCCCTCTCAAGTCGTTTGAGCATCCAACAATCAGTAGAATCAAGCCCTGGAACATCGGAATGAGGATTTTTTTTCTGAAGAAGCAGTTCGAGCAAACAGAACACTGCCGGCCTCTGTGCTTGTTTTTTTTTCAAACGTTTGTTTGAATCTCAGGTGAGTCAACAAGTGTCCGCCCATCATGGTTGATCGGTCAGGTTGGATAGTTGCGAT